TAATAATTACCCCATAATAAGTAATGGTATCTGGATATGCTTTTAATAGCAAGGCATATAATTCACAAGCATCTAATAAATTATTTGTCTTTTCATGCCACACTAAAATCAACAAAGCATTAACATAACAATAAATTTCTTAAATAGAATGATATAAAGAAAGATTACCAGCACTATTTATTATTAGTTCTTTTTGAGTTCGAGCTGGAAGTCGCAAGAAAAATGCTGAATTAAAAATGATAGGAAACGTTAGAAATTTTGAAATTATTTATTCTTTATAAGACAATGTAGGCTCATAGATATGCGATTAAACCCATAGAAAAATAGACGCTATCAAATGCTTGGGTTATTCACTCAAATATACGCTGATTTAAATGATTCTTATACCTTCTATAGGTGATAGAATAATTAATTGCAGTATGTTGCAATACAAGAACAACTTTTCGCGTCACTATAAGAATGATAAAAATTTCATCGAAAATAAATTTTTGCCAAAGATTCTATTTGTCGCTACTTCAATATAAGGGGAAACCCATTATTTGTCTTTTCATATACTATATATACGCACTATAATATTCCTCGATTGTTATATGTTTTTAATTATAATCTTAAAAGGATACAGATTTTCTAAGACTTCGTCACTATATCATCAAAAAATTTTTTTTTTTTTTTTTTTCATATAATATTTAGTTGCAGTACTAACCATTATTTCGGAGTATAAATTGAAACTGAATTACTTTCAAAAACTTTTTATCAATCTCGTGATTAGCGCGAAAAAGATTACAACACTTGACATGATAATATTTTTCTTATATGATGTTTTAAGACCCATTTTAATCCGCTTATCTTAATGACCCGAGAATTTGATGGCATCTATTTTTCTTTATTAGCTCAATCGCACAGGCTCGAGCAGGGATATATTTATTTTACTCACTGAAATTATCATCCATAGTCCGAAGGCGTACGGAATTTGTTATCTCGACAAGATATTCTTTTAACGGTTCATGATCAGGGTGGAGCGTCCGTCTAGGTTATTAAATTTTTATTTTATTTTATTTTATTTTATTTTTTTTATTTTACAATATAATAGCATCATTGATGAACAATCATAAGTCAATTATTTAATGACAGATAGGTAGACACAAAAGAAACAAGAGTAAGAGTATTTTTATTATATCGAAAAAGAAAAAAAAACTTACAATTCATCAAATTGAATCGTCGCTTGAGTCATATTACCTTCCCTGATTGCGATTTTATGTCCCAGGAACTGTATGTATGTAGAACAAAAATTGATAATATTAACAATTATTAAATTCAATAACCATATAATTAATAGTAATAAAAAGTTATATGTTAAGAATTTATTAAATAATGATATAGACGTGATTAATTTTTTACTCAAAAGATTATGGAAATAAATTTAAATTAACCAAATAAGGTCATTATGCCTTTAAAATAAAATGAAAAATGATCACGGCTAATCTCTTCCATTATTAAATAAGACGTTTACGGGTACATACCTTTATATCATAAGAACTAGGAAAAAGTTCACATGCTTCAAGGTAATATTTTATAGCATATTGTAGCCTTTCGTCACTAGTTAGTTCACTACCTTCTGAGGGAATAGCTGTTGCAGGACTCAAATATCTACTAATTATATTTACATAATAGTTGAGATCGTGAACCGTTGAAGCTTCATTAATTGATAATATTGAATCCGAAGACATTTTAGCAGCTAATATTCATAAACCAAAAGGTTTTATGGAAAGAGGATAATAAGGAAAGCTTTGTGCTCCTATAAATAAGTTTATTTGAATTATTTGTAAAAATGGTAAAATAATATTATATGCAGGAATTTGTATTTTAATTAAATTTAAAGTAGAAAAACAGATCGCTTTTTGAAGCGAAACATAAAAACGAAATGGTTTAAATACCTAATGATGATGTAATAAACTCTGTATGCCTAATGATGATGTAATATTTTTTTCAACTTGGAAATTATATAAGTATTTTTTTTTGAACTACACAAACAATTTCTAATGATAGTTATTTATTTATAATAAATAGTGTTACAATAAGTATTATCGTTACAATAAATTCAACAAACTTGGATGCAGTATTTCTTGTATATATGTACATATAATTTTTTAATTTTATCGATATATCTGTATATAGAAAAATAAAATTTTTCTTTTCGGGTGATGTCATTTGGTCATATGAAAGACCAATCAGATCAAATCAGATCCAAGATCTTATTATATAACGGGTAATAAAACCTTTTTTGGGAAAGTTTTTTTATACACAATCAATTTTTACTCTTGGGGTTTATTAAGAAAATATTACTTTGGTTTATCGAACAAAATTCAAATACTCGCAAGTAATTAATTTCGAATCGGTTAAGAATTGATTGATGTTGTACTCAAGATTTTAATCTCTATTGACATTTTAGAATAGTCTAAACGTTAAAATTTATATTTGGAATAGTATTTTTGCTATTGTAACTTTCATCCGAGATGATATCATTTTTATTATTTGCAAGACCAATCAGATCGCAGAATATTACGTAATTAACATAAAGAAAAAATTTTTATTTAAAATTACCAGATGTAAAATTCACGGTCCCGTATTACTTCATCGATAATAGTTTCACAATTACTTGGCAATATCTTTCGGCAAATGATTGTCGGCGAAATGTATGCTAACAAAAATTCTCCAGTATCGGTATGTATTGCCAAGTAAAAACCTGTAAGTATAAGGACTTGACCCTGGAAGAATTGTTACGTAATTAAAACGTCAATGTGTCACTTTGGTAATGATAATATAAAAAAAAAAATGCAAGCTGTGACGTTATTAAATTATGTAATTATAATGTCAATTTTCGTGAGTAAAAGTCCGGTATAGTGAAATTTTAAATATTTACAGATTTATCGTTATTATTATTTTTAAGGTTAGAATTTTTTAATGCTAAAAATTTTTAACACTTCAAAATACCTGAGAAATAACGATAAGCATACTTAATAATTCTATCTCTAATAAGTACTAAAGTCATTCAAAAAAAAAAGGAATCTAAATACTACGTACGTATCAGTATAAACTTTATATCATACGATATTTTATTGTAACATCGTTAAAAAAAGATATTCAATTAAATTCTTTATACGGTAACACGACATATTTCTGCATAATTTAAAATACATAATATAACTTAGTACGTATTACCAATTAATTTGAGCAAAAAAATTTTCAATTTGGTTCATTATTTTAGGCTTACATATTTATTTATCATAAAACTTAATCAAATTGTTTCAAAAGTCATAAAATTGGTTCTAACCAGGTTAATGAAAATTTTACGGACTCTCAACATCAATTTAACCAAATTTCGGCCAAAATTTCGAAAACTTATTTGACTAAAAAAATTCCGATTTCTTTCAAAAAATTTTCGTGTCCCTGTACCAAATCATAGGCTATCTTTTGTATGAAATCAATTGCTCGGGTAACTTATTTATACTGTTTAAAATACTTTTTGAG